TGCCCGCGTACGCTTGCCGCAAGCAAACAGTACGCGGGCTATAGTACTATAGAGCTAGTATATGGTTAGCTATGTATATATTATGGTACCAATGGTTTAGCCAGTCGCATTTATTGCTGCTAGCATTCCTTTATCAGTCTATAGGGTATCGGTAGCTCTAGCACTATGCCCGCGTACGCTTGCCGCAAGCAAACAGTACGCGGGCTATAGTACTATAGAGCTAGTATATGGTTAGCTATGTATATATTATGGTACCAATGGTTTAGCCAGTCGCATTTATTGCTGCTAGCATTCCTTTATCAGTCTATAGGGTATCGGTAGCTCTAGCACTATGCCCGCGTACACTTGCCGCAAGCAAACAGTACGCGGGCTATAGTACTAGAGCTAGGGTATCGGCCGACTGTACAAATATTTTGGATTTAGTATAAAGTTTGTTGACAAGCCAGGAGAAAATAGTCCGACATGGAATGAGGACCTGGTATCACAGGGGCGTGTACAGGATGTGTACCAGAGGGGGGGGGGGTCTAACCGTAACCCAAACTTGCGAGCACGCGAAGGGGGGGTCTGGAGGGTGCCCTCCCCCCCAAATTTTTTAGAAAGTATAGACCCCTTCCGATGCGTTTTCTGCGCGAGCAGGGGTGGGGGTCTGGACCCCCCCCCCCTGTACACGCCCCTGTATCATAGTATGAAATAGAAACCCTGGCATATGAATTTTTTAATGGCAAGAGGGTTTTTGTGGGGGGGCGGATTAGATAGAATAGATACCTAAGGGATACCTAAGGGCGGAGATACCTAAAGCGATGTTTCATGTTCATGAATATACATAGAAAGGGGAGAGAGAGCGGGAAGGGCAAATGTATAGGAGTAGAGGTCGTGGAGGAGATGGAGAGGTTCTTAATTTGGGGGGGGGGGGGGGATATTGTGTACATTATCTAGGTAAAATTGGCTTTAATTAGTGAATAATTGACACTATTTAATTAACCAACTGCTTAGTATTAGAGATTATATGTCTGTTTAAATTTATTTGAGTTAATTTATTTATCACCTTTAATTTACTTAATTATTAAACACAATGGTTTGTTTACATATATTTTCCAATTGAACTGATTACTGAATAGCAACTTTTGACAATAGAAAACAATATTGTATAGTTTCAGAAAATATTCACACCATCCTCCCCCTCAATCCTCTGTATCGTCAAAATCAAGCCCCAACATTTACTGGAAAATGAGGCAAAATACCCCCTGGAAAATTCAATCCTCCTGTGAGGAGGCATTAATATTATCTGGAACTACATGTTGTTGGTTTCCAATGGTGTAGCACATATACTTGGATTGCCCCAGTTTGCTCTAATTTTCGGTATTTTTTTTTATATAAGAACCTGTTTAATTTATCAGGCTGAAGAGGTTCTTATATAATAGGTGCTTTATTGGTCCAATTTAAGCCTGGAGGTTCTTAAAATCACGGGTTCTTTTATACGGGTGTTTACTGTATTCGCATAACTGCCGAGCGCGCGACAACGCCAAGCTTAACTATTCTGACACAAAGCGAAACACGACAATAAACAACGTTATCACACTGAAAACAGCATTGGAGGAAGGCATATTTGGGATACAGAAGCCGCGAAAGTGCCAACATTGAGAGGTAGCGGAATCTAGCACAAGGCTGCGTTCTCCTTGTCCGATTGGCGCCGACACACCCTGATGCGAATAATAATAATAAAATAATAATAACACTGATAAGAGATAGATAGAGCGCCTCGTGTCCACGGCTCTTCATTGGCCTTAAGTCACTGAGTGCTGGACCATATCTCTCCGCCTTTCCCCTCCACACTAATTTATTATACAACCCATATCCAGTGATTCAAGGTATATATATATCAGGTCCGACGCATTTTTCTCATGTCGTCATTCCTATCATTTTTTTCCTTCCGTGTATTACGCAACGTTAGAATTAACCGTAGAACACACACACACGCGCACTCACACACACACGCACGCACGCACGCACGCACGCACGCACGCACGCACGCACGCACACACACACACACACCACAAACACACACACACTGTGGCGCGCACACAATATAATATATATATGTAACTGCCTCACCACCACCTCTGTCACTACCAACCGCGCCGCCTCTTTCGTCTCTGCACGCCGGCAACGACCACCTCCCCCAGCAGCAGAACAGCACCGCCCACCAGTCCGATAAGTGGCAGCACCAGCACGTAGACCATGTGGCGCATCGAGCGGCCGACCGCGGCGACGCGCGGCTGCGTCGCGGCGAGGCACTTCTCAAATTCCGGCGGCATCGCCTCCATGAACCACTTCTCGAGCAGCGCCGTCTCGGCGAGCCGCAGGAAGCCGTAGCTGAGCGCCTCCTCGTAGGGGCTGCCCTGCGGGAGGCACCACGTCAGCGAGATGTCCAGAACGAACACGGGAGCGATCGCAAACCGACACTCGCGCCTCGCGGCGAAGTCGTGCGCCATGTAGCTGGCCGCGGACAGCGCGTCGACGACGAGAAAGTATTTGCCGTCGAGTGTCAGCTCGAACCCTTCTTCGAGCGACGACGCCAGCGCCCGCTTATCGGCGCGCACCTTCTGCCAGAGTTGCTGCGGGAGAGAGCCGGGTGCTGCGTCGCGCATCCACTCGTGCTGCGCGTAGCTGGCGACGACGGTCGGTGTCAGCGGGCTGGCGACCGCCTGTCGGATGTCGGTGAACGGGAACTCGTCGCTCGTGGAGATGGAGAGGAAGCTGACGATGCTCGCCATGTAGGCGCCCGTCATGGCGATCGTGAAGCACCACCAGCAGGCGACGAGCAGGCGCGCGTGCACGGCGCGCGGCTGGTACGTGCCGCCCTGCATCGTCAACGTCGCCGCCGCGAACAGGAACAGCCGACCATCGCCATCATCACCACCGCCGCCGCCGCCGCCGCCGCCGCGGCGCTGGTACGCCGTCAGCACGCCGCCGGCCGTCGCCGTCACGAGCAGCACCATCGCCCACGTGACGCCGTCGAGCGGGGCGACGACCGTCAGCGCCGTGCTCACGTGACTCTCCGGCCGACGCACGACGAACACGTGACTCGACTCGATGAAGTTCTGCAGGAAGACGCATGCGCGCTCGCGCTCGGGGCTGCGCACGGCGACGCCGACGATGTCGACCTCGCCGGCCGACATGCGGGCGACGGCTCCGTCGAAAGAATCGCACACTTCCAGCAGCGTGAACGTGAAGTTTTGGTAGCGCGCTAGTTCGCCGTACAGCCGCACGAGCGGCGCCGCGAGCGCCCTCTCGCTTTCCGCGCACATCCAGAAGCCAACGTTGATATGCGCGCCGCCGAGATCGTGCGCCGGGTGGTGTGGCGTCTCCGACAGAAGGCGTGCGGTGCAGTGATGTTGAGGCGCGGCCGACATTGCCGCACACGACGTCGACGCGTTCGTCGCGCCGACATGCCGACGTGCGGTCCGCTGTGCCGACGCGCTGCCGTAAGATAACAGCAGAACGACGAGCCGTATGATCAGCCGCAGACGCGTGCACGCGAGCGCCATATCGTACGCGCGCGCATGTACACGCACACGCGTCGGAAACTCTGCTGTCGCACGGACTGACCTGCGACCTGGGCGCGCGCGCGTGATCTAGTATAACGGCTGTCAGCTACGTGGGCTGCGCGCTGACGCACTGCGCATGCGTTACCGGCGTACATCCACGAAGTACTGATGACGTCGAGATATTCGTTGCATTGTTGGTTCGAGCCATAGAAATACGTAGAGACACTAGAACGCTGATCGACCACTAAAATTGACCACGGCGAGCGACGCTAGCGCCTCTGCCGAGTAAAGGCAAAATACCGCGGGAGATTTGCGTTTACAATTACATTGACTAAACACGGCGATAATCTTCTTATTCAAGATGCAAGATTCAAGATGTTTATTTGTGCACAAGTCGCGTATATACAGTTTACAGCGGCAAATAGGAAATATACAAGTCATACTCAGTTAATATCTAGTTTACAAAGGAAGCACAGGAGTGGCGAAAGAACCCGCAGGTCATCAGAGTCTGCCACCCCCTCAAAGAAAATGTAATACTAATAGTAGGTAGATGGGTCATTATTATAATATACTTGGTTGCCACAGTGGATGGTGAGCATGAGAAACCGCAAAAACATGACAGCGAGAATGAGCAAAATGATCAAAACATATAAACAAGAAAACTGAACAAAGGTGAACAAAAAACTAAACAAAAATGAACAAACGGAATGAGCAGAACAAAACAGGCAGAGCTCTAATTTACTCCTGTACAAAATAATGTATGGGCAATAGGCGTAATAAACAGCAGTTTACACATTGTTGAATCTTGAATCTTGACTGACCGACTGGAGTGGAATGGATTGACTGACTGACTGATTGACTGATTGACTAACTGACTGGACTGGACTGGCTGGACTGACTGGACTGGATTGGACTGACTGACTGACTGGACTATTTCAACACAGGTCTGACAACGCTTTCATACTGGAGTGATCTAAAATAAAACACCAGTCTTATTGGTAATATTGCTGCCTAAATATTAATTGTTCAACAAATTGTCAACTGACACTATTACCATATTAAGACACTGTGGTTTATTATTACAAATATAAGCTCACACAGGAAAATAGTGAATAGTGTGCGTCATTCAATCTCCATTTTTAATGCGTGAAGTTTATAGAGAAAATTTACAATTTTACACAAACACTGTTCAAAGTCATGATAACAGCATTACGTATTTCACGCATGCCTCTCAACAACCTAAAAGCAAAATTCACAAATAACAATGTCAAGAAATACAAACAAACAAACATTTTTTGCAAAAGGAAATTTACATACATTCACATTAGAATGTCTGATCCCATTAAAAATTAATTGGGAGTGTGAATTTTTTCATCGTGCAACTCGCTAATGAGTTTTCTCAGTCGTTGTCTACAACTCTCAACATAGCTTGGAGTGATGCTGGCAAGGTTGGCACTCCCCACATCCCCAATATGCATCTCACTCTTGCACAATTCCTCCGCCACTGCAATTGCGTAAACTCCGCAGTCGTAGCCATTGCGTTGCTGCGGCATTTCCTCTTCCACGAACCGATCGCTGACAATCCTCATGTAACGAGCCAGCTGTCTCGCGAGCAAGCGAGCCGCGTCGTGATTGTGCTGCGAAGACGAGTCGTAGTGGCGGAACACGCCGCTATCAACGTCTAACACAAGAAGGCTCCAGTGAGAACCACCGACATCGCTGCGCGATTCGCTGTCGTTCACGGCCAACGCGACGAATTTCTTAGTCGACAGCGACAGCGGCTCCAGAAACGCGTCCAGTTCACCAGGCTCGTTAACGAGCTTGATGAATTGAGTCACCTGCAGATGACAACAGGGTTCTGCTGTGAGAGGCATCAGCCAATGCAATATCACAAATGAACACCGACTAATATGCTAGTTATCTAGGATTGATCAATTTTCATCATAAATGGATGTTTCAATGAGGAGTAGGCTGGGGATAAACTTGGAATTTAGCTATCCCCCTGAACTATTTGATAGGCAGATCTAGCCAATTAGAGACGTAATTGGGGCATCGTAAAAATGAGGCTTAGTAATGATGTGCTGCAAAGTTGACAATTGAGTGTGCAAACATGAAAAACACACCTATAGACAATTTTGTTTGACCACCTAGTAACAATATTCAAGTGGTGGTTGTTATCTAACTCAGAAGTATGGTCAATTGTATTACACATGAAAAAGATTAAGCATATATTCACCTGTGGGCTAATGAAGCTGAAAATTCCGCTACAGTCTTTGCACAAAACGTTTTCTATGAATTCAAAGGCAAAGCCAATGATGTTGTCATTCAGCCAGTATGGTCCAGAGAGCAGATGGACATCCGACACACGTAACAAACTGTCATGGAAGCTCAAGACAACATCATCACCCATGTTGACAACTAGCTAGTAGACCTGTACCTGGAAAAAAGTGTGTTACACGGCCGGATATTAATGGGTATATTTAAATGATAGCACTGCTACACATTTCTGCAACATTTTCTTACAAGCAGAACAAATAAGACTTGTTGATTTGACATTACGAAGGAACACTGGTGTTTAGTGGATGAATTTTTAACCATTATAATGATTTCTTTTGCAAGAATTGAATTTTAATGGTTAGTTTAAATTAAACTGCAGAAATATTTTTCTATGCTATAGCTAAGCAGCATATTTGAAGACAAATAGAATATCAGTATCATTACAAGCTCCTTGTCACAGTCATTAAATTTAAAACTAAACTTCTAAACTGTAACATACATCATCCCTGCAAGAAGCAACAGAAGCAATGATATCATCCATAACAATTTACAACAATGCAAGTGGGGTTTTAGTTTTCTCTCAACCTAGTTTATATCCTATGTAGCAAATACCCTCTATCGATCAGTATAGCTGAGAGGGTCTATGTCCCCCAGGGAACTGCCGGAACATACCATGGGTACGGTCCGGTATACCGGAACGTACCCTGGTACTACCTAATATGTCAGACCGTACCGCGCGTACTCTACTAACGAGGCTAGGGAGTCGCCTACGCCTACTCCCTAACCCTAATCCTAACCCTAACCACATCAGATAGTTACCAGGGTACGTTCTGGTATACCGGACCATACCCAGGGTACGTTCCGGTATACCGGACCATACCCAGGGTACGTTCCGGTATACCGGACCATACCCAGGGTACGTTCCGGTATACCGGACCATACCCAGGGTACGTTCCGGCAGTACCCTGGGGGGACATAGACCCTATGAGCATCAGTATACATAACTGTGGGAAATATAACTGGCCACCTCATAAATTGAAACCAACAGCTGGAGTAATTTTATATTTAAAATATACGGGGCATTCATGATCTGACATTAATGCTGGATGAAGGTGTTTTGTTCCGTGTTTATATTATACATTACTTCACACATTCATACAGCTTGCCTTGAAATTAGCTTTTTGCACTGTCAGTGGCAGCTTTCACTCCTTCACCTTCGTAACCAAATTCCTTGGCAACATCAGGATTTTCAGCAGCAAACTTCTCAACTGTATTTGTGTTCAACCAGTCACTTGTATTTATCTGCTTTTTTAAAAGATCCACCAGATCTTCTAGTTTCTTTTCACCGACAGAAGCTTGTAAAACTGGAAATAGAAATTGATTACAATAAGATATTGTGCATGTTGATCGAAAACTATTTCATTGAAATCTACAGTTCGGATACAAGAATCATGCTGTATGCAATTATAGTATATTTAACATTAGATCTTAAGAACCATGGAGTACTTTACCTGGGTACTACCGAACACCGGGCCAGCTCCCATTACTGCTAAACAATTATTATTAGTTTATGACATGGCGCAAAATCAGATCTTGTGGCGCACGTACACACACAGCAAAAGCAGACCGGATGACCAGGCCATTGCACACATACTGCCAGTAACAGTTGACAGTGTAGGATGAATATTTTCCCAGTAGGCCGACATAATCGCAGGAGAATCACAAAACCATACAAGAATCTAATGATGGAAACACACTTGGTAGAAGGCTGCTAATGGACTATAAGCATTCCATTACATTAGCATGGATAGCAGGCATGTAAGTCCCATTTTACAACCTGTCATAATAAATTAATAAGGAATGTGAATAACTAGCGATGTAACACGGAGAAACGTGTAGGGAGAAAAGGTGAAGCATCGGGAAAACGGCTGCCAAAAAATGAAGATGACACCTTGCCTGGAGCAGCACTCCCTCTGGTGCGGTCACATCACGATGGGATTTAAATAGCCAGGGATCATGCCTCATGGCTGGGGTTCTTGTTCTAATTCTTGGACCCACCAGGCTTTCCTTTGAGTTGTGGTGGGAAGTTTAATTCCGGTTACTAACGTTACAGAAAATGGACATGGGAAAAATTGGCTCATCTTTGATTGAAAAGTTTCCTCAAACGGGGCACAGTTAGATCAAGCAGTATTTCTCCTGTCATTTCTTGCTTACTGACTTGTGTTTTAGCATAGAACAATGAATGAGTAGTCTATTTATTTTTAAGCAACACAACAAAAACATGGTTAGTAACGTTACAGTTTTATGGAAGCCCTGAAACGACATCCGAGTTTTTGAGTTTCCGAGTTTTTGAGTTTTCGAGTTTCTGAGTTTCTAAGTTTCATCTGCGCATGCCTTTTCTTATACGCCTTTGCGTATGCGCAGAAGAAACTTAGCAACTCGGAAACTCAAAAAGTCGGACGTCGTCTCAGGGCTTCCATAATATGTCCGTCTGTTCGATATTGTTAAGAGAT